CTTGGTGGGGAGTGACCACCTCCAGCCTAACTACCAATCTCACATAATCATGGGACATCTCCAACTCACTTACAATACAGTTCACCAGTTCAATACTGCACTTTGACATTCACTGACACCTTTCAGGCACGCATCTCATGCACGTTGAAAAGTCTAAGCAGAGTGGTCCTCAGTCAAGGCAAGGAGGGCTGTCATTATTCAGGGGCTACCAGCACAAGTAAGTCAAGAGTATCATCTGGTATCAGTCTAGGGGCTTGGACACAGTCAGACAGTCATTTGGGATGTTCAGGGTTCGGAGTTTACAATCGTTGCAGACAAAGGAGTGGGCCATGGTTGGTCCTGCAAGTCCAGAGCAACCAGTCTGGGGGCTCACAGTAAGTCAGCTGGGGAGATGTGTAGCCATCAGTAAGGAGTTTGGTCAGTCCTCAGCCATGGAAGCAGTTCCAAGTCAGTCATGGTGATGAGCCATGGTCAGTCCTGGGAGGGTCTCCACATTGAAAGTCAAGGGGTGTTACTGAGTCTATTGCTGTGGTGAGGAGTTTGGAGAAATCAATTGTGAGGTTTGGAGGCAGCACGCCAGGATGCTAAGGGACAATAATTGTGAAGGAAGTAGTGACTCACCATTTAAGGATGGGAGATAATAGAGTGTGGGAAGACACAAGGTACTGTGGGAAAAGTTTCACTGACACTGACATGCCGAGCCTGCTACTCATTCTGTGAAGCTCAATCTGCATCACATTCAATTTTCATCTGATTCACAAGCACACAATTGAGGAGAAACATGGCTGCTACCACACCCAGACAGGGCATATTGAGCATTTTTTTTTCTCTCTGAGGGAGTGGGCCTTTGAGACCCTTTGAGAAGCAATGCATTAATCAGATGCTTACTCAGTACAGATTAAAGACATCTGTCATCACAGAAGCTGCAAGTGAACTTCATGATGCATTGGCCAGTTACGTTGATTATCAATCTTGACCATGTCATTGAACATTACAAATTAATCCAAATAATGACTGTGAAGCAGAATTTCGTCTGGTGAGCTGTAAGCTTTCATCTCAGTTCTACATTTCTAAAACTTATTCCCAGTTCTTACAGCCTATAGAAGGTCCAGGAGCTGCATACCTCACATCCATCGAACTTAAAAATGTGTAACTTATTATCCCAAATGCAAAGTTGCCTTTCTTAGATAACATGGGGGTATGGAGGTCAATGGGGAATGAAATTCTCATTCTTTCTACTACACTCACAATCTTCTACTGTATATATGACAATTGGCTTATACAGAATACATCTGAATCAGAAATTGCTAGAAAACATCAGTAGGTCTGGCAGCATCTGTGGACAGGAATCAAAAAGCTGAACCCTCTCCAGCTTGATTATATCCTTCCTATAACTGGGTGACCAGAACTGGGCACAGTATTCCAGAAAAAGGCCTCACCAATGTCCTGTACAACCTCAACATGACTTTCCAACTCCCATACTCAAAGGACTGAGCAATGAAGGTAAATGTGCCAAATGCCTTTTTAACCACCCTGTATATATGTGACTCAAACTTTAAAGAATTATGTACCTGCACCCCTAGGTCCCTCTGTTCGACAACACTACCCAAGGCACTACCATTAATTTTATAAACCCTACCCTTGTTGGTTGGACCAAAATGGGATATAGTGCATTTATCCAAATTGAACTCCATCTGATATTTTCAGCCCATTGACCCATTTGATCAAGATCCCTCTCTAACCTTAGAAAACCTTCTTTACTGTCTACTTTGCCAACAATTTTGGTGTTGTCTGCAAACTTTATAACTTCCCACCTCAGAAGAATACAGTCCACAGTACCAACAGCAGATGCAGCTTCCCATTCATTCTTTGTTCACTTTTCATATAAGTTAAGGTTACAAGCTGATGGAAGCTTTCACTGTACCTAATGCTCCCTCGTTCAATAATGACAGACTTCCATGGCACTCCAGAAAGAATAGATATTCCTTGAATGGCATTATAACAGTGAGTAGTGTGGTGTTAAGAATGACAGCCTGTCTACCTTCATTCTTGTAGCTTCAGCTAAAATAACAGTCAACCACAGAGCTAATGATGAAGGATGGATACATATTTATAAATGAATCATTCTTTTTGCAATGAAGTGTCATCTACGTGTCTTCAGAAGTGTTCCTTAATGATTCCTTCCTACAATGCATGGATAGATTCCTAGGATGTACAGCTGGGATGCAGGGAGCTTGCTCCATAGTGGAGCCTCTTGGTCTTGGGGTTTTGGATGGGTGATCCTGAGTACAATTATAGGGGCCATATTTGTGGCTAGAGGTCACATTTATGCTGAGAATGTTCTGGCCAGATGTCTGCTTGCCCTACTCACCTTGAACTTCCAAAAGATTGAATGCTTCAGCCAGGAACCTTAGGCTTTGTTGTGAGAGGTTTTGAACACAAGAGTAGCGCAGTCTTGGTTCAATTGTACAAGAGCTTGGTTAGTCGGTACTTGGAGTACCATGTTTTGGCCTCTTTATCTCAGAAAAGATATTATTGCCAGTGCAACAAAGGTTCACCAGACCTTTTCCCATGATAACAAGGCTATCCTATGAACAGAATTTGGCCAAACTGGCCCACTATTCTCTAGAGCTCCTAAGATCTCATTGACATCTACAAAATACTTAAAGGGATAAACAGGTGGATGCAGATCAGACGTTTCCTTTGGTTGGGGAGGGTAGAACCAGTGGTCACTATTTAAAAATAAGGCAGATACCACTTAAGTCCCACTTAGGAGAAGAAGAAAATCTTCTTTTTTCAGAGGGTGGGAACCCTTGAAATTCTCTATTACAGAAGGCTTTAGAAGCTTAGTCTTTAAGTTTGTTTAAGGCAGATATTGATAGATTTCTGATTACCAGTGGTGTACAGAGTTATGGGAATGGGGTGGGCTGAAGTATTCAGTCAGCCATGATTGTATTGAATGGGTCAATAGGCTGAATAGTCTACTCCTATGTTCTGTAAGGAGAGGAACTGGGCAGCTCTGGAGTGCCCTGACTGTAGGGGCAATTCTTCCCATACTGGAACAGTGAGTAGCAACTGCTGGTTTGTCGTGATTGATCTGGTGCACAGCTGGGATTTAAATATGGCATCAGCAACAGGAAGCCAGGAAGAGATCAGCAGCGATGAGCATGCCTGCCCCTGCTGAGCCCACAATAACGAGACAGCAGCACTGTGGGGGACTGATACATAGGTAATGAGGTGAGCAATGGAGAATTACATGAGAAAACCCGCTGGAGCTCACCGAGAGAAACCTTTAATTAAGCTGCCTGAAGTTGATACTTAGCCAAATTTTGGGTCAATTAAGCTTTCCATATAAATTTGGGAGCAATCACATGCAGCCAGATATTTTCTTCAAAAGCACAAGAGTGATTGGAAATTGTCATGTCAAGGAAACTGAAGCATTAACTTTTATTCAATTGCTCTGCCATTCTCTCCAGGAAATGGCTTTTCGTGGTTCTCAGGGCGCAGATTTAACTCAATCCAGTGTCAAATCCAGGAAACTGAAAGCCCAACTCTCTCATTTTAATGACTAGTGATGCATCCTGCTTCCTGACCAATATGCAGATAAAAATCATAGCAGAACTGGTGATAAAATGCAAGCACTAAAAGAAAGACAATTATATAAAATGACCCATGATCACTGTGGAAACTCTGCTTGCTACCTTTTCTATTGTGATGAATGTATCTGAACAATAGGGTACAAATGTTCTGCTCAAATACTTGTAATACATCAATATATTAATTACACATTTTATGCAGTTAATGTAGATTTAAATACTGGCCTATTTTGAAATCATGTACTTATGCATAACCAAAACCCTCTGGTATTATAATTCATTTTGCCCCCATGACTAAAATCTTCTAGGCTACTTCATATTCTGCGTGGATTTGAACTCAAGGAGTAACATAAATATGAGTGTCATGATTTAGAAAGAAAATTTCATGAAAGCAGGATATTGACAGAAAATGTAGCAGCAGCCCAAATAAAGATTCCTAAAAAGCAACACAATACAAACACACAATTGAGAGAGAAAACACAAGTTTGAATGTTCAACATACATCAGGAATAAATGAAGCAGGTCTGTCATGGAAAGCTATGAGCAACTGCTATTTGGAATTCTACTTGCATCTTCTGGAAAGTATTTGGCAGGGGAATTGATGATAATGAAAGGACAAGGTACAAATGTACGACTTTATATATAAAGAAATAGTTTTGCAGTACTTGCACGCAGTGTGTTAGCGAGGAAGAGATAGTACCACTCTTCACTCTCATCTCCTTAGAGGGACTGAAAACAACACTTGTTTTACTAGCATGCATTTTTATGAATCTCAATTAATCCATATTTTCCATTACAGATGCCAGAAACCTATATAATGTTCCACAATATTGTTCTGTTAAATAATCAAGACAAATGATTCGGACTTACTGTGTTGTAGTTAATCAAAAACTAATTTTATATTTAGTTTCCATTTCCTATTCTTTTGCCCCTCCCTGGATTGGTGGAAAGAGCAGCTGTTTTAAAGTAATTAAGTTACATTTAAAAAGTGTTTCACCATTAGTACTGATTTTAAAAGCCACACAATTACCAAGAATTATCATTAACATGTTTCACTTGTCTTGACTGTGTGAGAGAGTTGAATTAACATAAACAATTGGAGATGAAGCCGGGTTACTGATTGCACTTTGTTGAATAATAGTCAGCACTCTCATTCAGCTCAAAAACCTGTCCTGGTAATGGCCCCAGTATTTAGTGTTCTAACAGAAGGTGACAGAGGGCTTAATTTGAACTCTGTATAAGTGAGTGGATTTTGAGTGCATTAGAATTGGCCCAATTAAAACAGCATGATAACCAAAGGATTAAAAATATATTGAGTAAATGCAATGGTAATAGTTAACAAAATGCTAATGCAGCTGTAATTTTTAAAAAATCCAACCTAAAGATCATTACATTCAAACTTACATGCGACCACTGGGTGAGATTTTCCGGCCATCTCTGAACCATGTGACTTGGGGACGGGGGAACGTAGAAATTCTTGGTGCCCTGATAACTGCAGCATTTCCCTGGGAGACACTGAGAAACTTTTCACCACTCTCGAAGTTTGCCATATCTAGTAAAAAAAAGTGTTATAAACAGTTTTGTTCAGATGTTGACATCAATGCTGTACATTTTATGGAACACAATACAAATTGTGAAGTCTTGGCAGTTTTCAGTTATAACATCAAGAACTACAATCGTTCAGAAATTTCTATGCATCAATTAAAGTGAGAAAACAAGTGGGTATGTGCAACAACTTTGAGTCACAGAATGTTTTGACATGCTTGATGTTTCAAGTCCAACTTGACTCTCTTTCTTGGAACTGGCTCTTTCTGTTTTTATTTCAGGTCTCCACCATTCACAATGCTTTGATTTTAATTGTTGATATTTGAGTTGGTGATCCCAGGTGTGAAGAAGTGTAAAGCAGATGTTAAGCATATTTCAACTGAGCCAGAGAGGAAATAGTAGAGAGAAGCTATCTTATGCTGTTGTATTTCATGACAATTGGTTTTGGAATGCTACTGGTGGGAGAATAAAAGCAGAACAACCACCATCTTTATCATGGATGATACATTTGTCACATGGGAAAGACATTGTAAAAATGAAGAGTTGATGTTCACTGAAATTTGAAAGCAGGGCTTGGACACTGATGAAAATATAAATAGCAGAAACTTGGCACCTTTAACAGCACAGAGGACATTACTTTGGAAATTGACATGATGGCCACAAAATTAGGAATTTTTGCGAGTGTTAGTGATTTCTTCACCAGCAAGATCAATTTGTTATACTAGACCATGGATTTTTTTTTTTAACATACTCATAACAAAGCTCCTCTTTCACTTTTCCTTGATATTTATCATTCATGTACTTGCAGCTAAAACGGCATGCAAGGCAGCAACTTTATGTTCAGGATTGAGCAAAACTTGCTCTGAAATGACGATTATCCTCTTTCAATTATGTATTTTGTCTCTATGGTGATGTTCCTGGCCTTTCATTGATAGCTACGCACTGTGCATCAGTAAGATCAGGAAATCTATGATGTGTAGACTTGAGCATAAGTCTCATCGTTTCATGGGTATTGGTACTTATCACATTATATCACTACATGGATTGTTAATATTTCCTAATTTGGGTGTTTGTGATGAATAAAGACCATGACTAATTAGTTCAGTGGATTATCAAATGCCATTTTAGTTTTAATTTGATTTCAAATGCATTGAAGAATGACAGGGTATGTGTAATTTTCTTTTCACTTGTTCTAGAAGACATACATGAGATGATGGTGAGCAGTCTGAGCATATGTTTCAAGTGCATATGGGCTCCCAGCATAAAATAGTCATTAGTCAGTGTGTCTGATCAAGCCCCACCTGAAACCTAAGCACAAAAATCTATTTTGACAATCCAGTGCGGTACTGAAGGAGTGCTGAAATGTTGAAGTTGCTGCTTTAAAACAGATATAAGAAATTGAGGCACCATCTGCTCTCTCAGGTAAACATATAAGTTTCCATGGCACTGTTATGAAGGAGAACATGGGGGTTATCTGCAGTAACATGACCAACATTTATCCCTTAAACAACATTACAAACATCAATTATCCAGTCAGTATCACACTGCTCTTTTCCGAAGCTTGCCTTGTGGCAAAATTCGCTGATGTTTTGGAATGTCTTTCTTTCTTAAATCCTTGATTGGATGAGATGGAGCAATGTGGAGCATAAACTCCAGTATAGACCTGTTGTGTCAAACAGCCTGTTTCTGTGCTGTAAACACTTTGAAAATTGTTGATTTCACTCTGCAAGGCCAAAAGGATAACTTGTGTGAAGTAAAGATTTCACTGTGCTGCAGTAAGCACTTGTCCTTCTGAGTTTGGAGCATTACTGGGTCACAGTACGAGGTGACCTGTTCTCCACCTAATCACTTCTGATCCTGATTGTAGACTGCATGAAGCTGTCAGTGAATATCCAAGTTGAGGAAATGTTCCATTCTCCAAAACACAAATATCTTGTCTCAGCATGTAAAACAAACAGTAAATTATTTTCTTCTTTGAATAGTGACATTGCTCCTAAAAGGGCTTAAAGTTGAAAGATAGAAACAAATAAAAATCAACAATTATGAATATTTCCCACAGTTGCTTATTCATCTCATTGAGTTTGAAGGATGTCTTCCTTTATGGTGATGTGTGTTGCTTGCTCGTACAAGGGAATCTGCAGCTGTCACCATTTGTATGGAAGGCACATCCTCAACATTCTATGACATCCAAACTGCCGAATAATATACTAAACTTAACAATGCTGTTTCCCCTTAATTCGAAACATTCCAAGTTTCATATAGCCATATTTCTTTCCCAATGATCTGTTTGTCAATTTCAGGTCAATTTCATGCTGTACATTCAGAATCGACCAGTCACTGATCTCAAGGTATTCAATACACTTTAGAAACAAGATCGCCAGTAAATGGATTACTGCAGTACAGATGATCAGGATGACACAGTTTCAAAAAGTCACATGGGGGAATCAAGAGAGGATATTATACGTATTTATTTCTTTACTGAGTTGGAAACTCAAATTTCATTATTTTAAATTATATCTGAAAACCCACCTATCTGTCTGGCTTTGCGCATCACTATCTGTAGTGGTTTTACGCAACTTGTGTATTAAAAGGTTAATCTCCTTCAGTGTCATAATGGGAAAGAGCATTAGGGCATTGATTTTGATGCCCACCAGTTATTTTGATCATTAAGTCTATGGCTCGAAATCTACCTAAAGCAATACTGCAGCTCTGTTGGTAACACCAAGATCTGATGTATTGTCACAAGGGAGGAAGCAAATTACATACGTTAATGCATTAGCTGAAGTTTCAGATTTGGATAGAAAATGAGTTCAACAATATCATTCAAACTTTGAGAATGTGGGAGAGTAAGGTAAATCAGACATCATAAAATGAAGAAGAACAATATTTCACATTAATCTTGCATTCTTGAAATAAAGTAACATAGGAAAAGATGTTGGTTGAATATAATTAACAGTTGCAGCCGTTGTACAAAAGTGAGGTATTTGACATTTTCTGTTGTTATTTGAGTCTATAATCAAGACACGCATGAAATCCCTGAGGGTCAAAGTAGCACAGTGCTACACAACATCACTTCCATTGAACATAAGCTATTTGAGCGATCATTCTGGGTTATCTGGTGACAATATTTTTGCATAAGCTTACTGATACCTTATTCCTGCATGTACTTTTGCACGAAAGAAAAATTATCAGTAAACTGTAATGTTACATGGAAGACAGCCTCTGTGACTCAAATTTTAAATTGGGCTTGTACAAGATCAGCTGAGGAAAGTGCAACCATCAAACTTTTGTAAACATATTTAATTATTACAACGTGTTTTCTAAAAAGCTCACTGACAGCTTGGTGGTACACATTTTACAACAGGCTGTTTTTCACATTAAGTTAGAAACTCAGATGACTGGCTTGAAACAAGAATAACTGAAGAAAAGGTGAACTCAATTTAATTCATCACTCTCTTGTCCATTTTGCCACAAGGAGATTCTCACAGTATGATCACATTATAGCGGAATAAAAATCAATCAAAAAAATCAAAAACATGAATCGTGGTAAAATATCGTGCACATATATTGAACAGAAACAAATAAAGAATCATTCCTCCTTTTGACACTGAGGTTTAGATCTCTTTCATGTCTGAATGACACATGGAATTTCTGTTCTCAGCTGATATCGCAAGACTCAGAAACTCACACAAAGATATTGTCAGGGTGTGCAAGAGGTGGGTAAGAGTTAAAGCAACGTTTGGCATGTGCAATGGGATATTATTCTTAAAGAAGCAGGACAATCAAATCAATGTTTTCTAAAATTGAACCAAATGTCAAGCATTTTAATTTAAAAATTGAAAAATTAAATCTTGGATGGTAGAATTACCATTGGTAGGGTTAGTTGCTCGAAAAATAATGGGCAAAATAGGTAACTTATTTTTTATTGGTTCCAAATCTATGACAAAAATAAATCTAACAAAAACCTTGTGCCTTTAAAGGATGGTCTTTCTACAATCCTGGAGCTTAATATTAAATACGCACACTTCTGCTGTGCCCAAATAGACTGTGGTTAATTAAGCTAATTAAAACAATGTACAAAATCTTCTGTGATTTTCACATTATTGTTACTCATTAATGCTGCTGCCTGATTAGATACTCATTACCCAGGTAATTAAGCAGCAGTGTAACTTGCCCTTTTCCCATCTCTCCACTCCGACATGCAGTCTGGCTGTTAGCATTTGTACTGTCTCTTGGTACAACACATAAGCACAGAACTTAAGTTTTTTTCATCAAATATAGCTGTAAATTCAAGCTTGTTTTCACTATTTGCAGTGGACAATTACTCTGATTGGGAATAATCCATTTTAATCTTCATACAGTAAAAATATGATGTGGTGTTACAGCATATTTAGTCATGCAGAGGTAGAAGCAGATGGAAGATCCTCGTTAGAGAGTAAAAAGACGTTTTGCTCGAATATGGCTAATATGTTGAAATGTGTCAGATTTTATTTTCCTGGTGGAAACATCAGCAAACTAAAGTTTCATTCTTGACAACCTCTATGATGGCTTACTATTTGAAAATAGAGGTCCTTCCTGACCACATGAGTGCACAGGATCTGTTTCCAATGAAGTTCCTTTTCTTGGAATGTGAAGAAAAAAAGTGATTATGTAAAATTACCATACTAGGAAGTGAAGAGCATAAAAGGAAATTGTGTGGTGCTTGCCTCTCACTGCACAAGTCTTCCACTGATGGTTTGTTGTCAAGTTCACTCAGTTATTTTTGTGCCTTCATCATTTGTCCAGTCTTGCCTTCTTCTTGGGCAGTCCCTCAGGGTGAAAGCTGTGTGTGTGTGTGTGTGCGCGCGCAAGTTCAGTCTCTTCAGAATGGCTTCAAGGACATTTTGACTGTCCTCCTGGGAGTCTCCTGCAAAGATTAGCTCCAAACTGAACAGTATCTGATTAGTTTTAATATACCTGACTTCGATAATATCAGTATGTCATCTTATAGCAATGTTTTATTAAATGTGATGTTACTTCTTGTGTTAAAGTTCCCAGATGAGAATTTCCAGGTACATGAGTCATGATAGGCTTCACAATGTGCTACTAAATTATTACCATTTAAGCAGCTTGTAGGAAGAATGAAAAGTTTCCAATGTTATGAGGTCCTGAGATACAGATGCTTAGTGTTTTGTTTTATTGGCAACAATTTTTTTTCCATTGCATCTTTGCATTTATTTTCCATAGCAGAATCAACCTATTTTAACACAATCACTTCATTTTTTGTCAATAAGGTTATTATAAGACAGGGAGATAATTGAAAAGATTCAGTTAAAGCAACAATAGCAATCCCTGTTGTCAGTTCATTGAACTACAGAAAGAAGCTAAGGCTGCCAAACATAATCAGGAAAGTCCTTCTAAAATGTTGACTTAAAGAAAATGGAATAACTTTGTTTTTACATGTTGAAAAGTACTTTCAAGGTTGTTTTTACTTTTGGAGATCCACTACTTCCAGTCATTTTTTTCCTCAAATTCCTGGGAGGATGGCAATACTGAGGGAACATTGCTGCATCCCAGGTGTTTCTTGGTCAATTCAACACGATCTGGCCATTTGCAAAAGGGTTTTGCGGTGTAGTGGTAGTGATCCTATCCAGCCAGGAGGCCCAGGTTTAAGTCCTACCTGCTCCATAGGCATATCATAATATCACTGAGCAGGTTAATCAGGAAAATATCTGGCCATATGGAGCAGGGTGGGAGTCAGCTGGAGTCACACATTCCTGATAATTCCACCTGTTTTGAGTTCTTTTTCCCAGAGGGTCAGGTGGCTTCAGATTTTGGAATGCCATTTGCACTTAAATTTGGAATCAACTGGGTTTGTGCTATAAAATAACATTGCAAAACATTAAGATTGGATAACCTTGACAGTTTTCAAGCTGAGACTGTGAATATTAAATACCAGTATATGCATTGTTTTCAAGTTGCGCTGACATTTCTTTTTTGCTACCTAGTTTTGCAGCTGTGATTGACAGGAATTCACAATGCAACGTGAATGTCAGCACAGTTTATATCACAAGCAACATAACTGAGCTCTTCAGTTGCTGCAGAATCTTCGAAATGCTTTCCATACCAACTGTGTTTCCAACACAGGTTTATTTGTTAGTTAACCCAATTTTGCTTTTGGGTTACTGTAAAATGGGGAGTCTTGGGAATAGAAATTCCCTTAAGAGTTTTCCAGTATGTGACAAGGAATCAAGCCATATGTGCAGAAAGTGAAATTCAAGGCAGGAGGATTCTAATCTTAAATTTCTGATAAACACCAGAAAAACACTCGATCTGTTAAAGCCTCAGATGAGAATGTAAAAGAACGCCCAAAACAGTGTTTACCCTTTTGTTGTTCATCCTGCACTTAATTCTTTTTTGGGAGTTAGATTTCGGTCAACTGATGCAGAATGGCTACCTGCAAAGTTCTTCTTTCATTTTACCAGCTTACGGTTCCAGCAATGAGTTTTCTCAGTCATCATCATTTCTCATTCCTCAGCATATATGCACTACCAGCAGCAATAAAGTTGAACTTGAATAAGTTGATTGTTCATATGAATTGACCTTTTTATCTGCTAATGTCGCATTATCTATTAAGAACACATTCAGCAGCTGTCCCACTGGCACATTAGTATTTTGAGCCAATGGTTTGAACCAACTTACATGCCACCTGGACTTCTGTCCTCCTCTGCATCAGTGCTCCAAGCCGATTCCTCACTATGCAACGGTAGAAACCAGCGTGGGATCGATCCAATGATGGAATCAGATACCTGAAAGTAAAAACAAAAGTAATTGATTGCAGACAATGTGGAAGTTTGGTTTTCTTTTCGTATTGATGCTCTTTTTAAAAATGTTGAAGTATTTCAGTCCATATGCGCACAATTGCTGAACCAGTGCCAGCATGCAGCATTCTCTTCCTTGTAATGACTCGATCAAACCATGGCAGGCTGCCCAGTTTTAGAATTTTTCCTTTGTGTCCTCTATGCGACTCACCCAATTTGCCAGCTGGCAATCTAAACCAACACGTGGAGGATCTCACATTGAACAAATTGATACTATTCATGGCTCCATGTATGCCACCCTTTAAAAATGAAACCTCATTGTAACCGATCCTTGATTTATTGTGTTGTTTTAAATAGCTCACAAATGCCTGAGGAGAGGGAGCTGGATGCTCTCTGGTGGTGCATTGCTAATGTCCTCTTTCAGAAGGTCTCAGTTCAAATGTCAATCTGCACTATAACTAGAACCTTAATGGACTTATTTAGTTCACCTTCAATGTAAAAGATAAGTGTAACAGAGACTTCTCTCTTTGTGCCATTACAATTCCAACTCTGTTGTCTCTTAAAAGTGGGCATTGCATCATGGAAATGCAAAATGACCATTTAAACTACAATCAAATTAAAGGAGGTGGTTTCACTAGTTAGAATTTACTTCATTTTAAACATTTGAGCATTAGAAACATTTCTAATTCAGGACAGTAGCTGAGCTAGTTGTGAGATTGGGAGTGCAATCACAGTCACTGGAGGACAGGCAGGATTATTATGACCAGAGGAAGGTGAGGTGACAAGAGTCTTAATGTATCCTTTGAGTCACAGCAAGTTCCTATGGCAGTGGACTGCCCAATATTCTGCTGAATTGCAGGCTTCCTATTTTTGTAATTTAATGTTATGTTGCACTCAATAGGTTCTGCCTCTGTTACTAATTCCTTTGAACTGGCATGTCATGCACACTGCAGGGCTTCCAACTGACTCCAAAAAAATAGAGATATAACAAGAATATCCAGGTTAATCATTTCCTCAACACCTTAATTGGTACCTGGTGGGTTGCCATCAGGGTCCCGATGTCATCCCCAGCAAAAATCCACAGAGGCAGGAAAGTGTTGGGGAGCAGTCCAATGGAAGTTTTCACAAATTCCGTGCCCTCTGTCACTTCAGTACCTGGTTCCAAGGGTCTGAAGTTTCAGTCACTGTGTCTGCAATGCAAACTGCAAACCTGTGATTGGCCATCTTTTACAAGAGGTTTTACAAGAGTCAAGCTGGCTTGCTTGACCACCTTTACATTTCCATTGCTTAAAAAATGCTTTCTATAAGCTGTTATGCAGCAATAAATGTTTTACCAGCAGTTGGAGGTCAGCGAAAAAACACAGAGCTCTATTTTCCCCAATTGCAGTCTAACTCTGCGCCTTCCCCTTGCATTGAGACCGCTGTCAAAGCGGTGGGTAGAATTACTAATTCAAAAACTTCAACCAATTTTTAGCATTCTTTTATTTCAGCATATTTGTGATATGTTGCTTAGAGTTTCTTATTAAGTTTTCATCATTACTATCAAAAATACTTCAATCTCTAGAGTAGATTAATTCAATTATTCTTTTCTCAATCTCAGCACAATCCTAAATCACTGCATTATCAGTTTATGATTTAACATCCTTGCTGAATGATCAAGAACATTGTGCCAACTTCAAGTACTTTAACCTAACAGCATTTCAACTGAAGGCATCACTTTTTTCAAAGATTGGAATTTACCAACATCCACTAATTAGGTTTGTTAAAGGTTGTCACTAAACATTGTCAGGATCAATCTGATGAGCTGAAGGGCAGAATTGAAGCTGGTAGGAAATATTTTGATGCCAAATTTGTTTAAAATTTGAAGCAGGAGAAATTGGTTTCCGACAGCTGCAGTTAAAGGTATATTTATTCAGTATTTGTCCACTAATAACTCATAAATAAATATATACTGCTAAAATACAGGTTTTAGCTATCTACTTTCCACTAAAGAATTTTCTGTAACAACCTCAACATGTATCATCTGTGAAGGTTACTTTCCTTAATGACTAGTTGCAGTTGTTTTATTGAGTCAGGTTTGGAGTCTCGATTTCCAGGGGTCCGGTATCAGTACATCTCTGGTTGTATAACCAGAGACTTGTATAACCAATCTCTGACAATATGGAAGAGCTGGGCCATGCTCCCACATTTGGGACTCAACCCCATCTTCCAGTTATGGAGCAACTGGCTACATAGCCTGTGCTGTGTAGACGGAGTTGATTGCTGTTCATTGTATTTGAAGGAGGTTGAGCCAGAGTCGTATGTCGCGTCAGTGATCCAGTGTTGACTTTTTATGCTCGAAGTATTCCACTACCCTGTCATCTGAATAATGGCTTGATACTAGCTGCATTTTATCATGAGCTAAGTGTTTCCACTATGAATGTTCACTGTAGAGTTGGGAGAAATCAAACCTCACTCGGTACTCAAAATAAGTCCCCCACAGCAATCAATCTTCCCTATTTTGTAATTCAAATATCCTTTACTTGAAAAAAATTGCTGGAATGCAAGCATTACAGAATTTACATACTTGTTCCTAGCAATTTATCTTGTCTAAATACCATAATCTTGTGAGAAAATTAAAAACTGGGCAGAATTGTGAGTCATGAACTGATTGATATGATTGTTAAAGGTGATTTTGACAGGTTGAGTGAGTTAGCAAATATATGGCAGATGCAGTGCAGTGTGCTTAAATGTGAAGTTATACACTTCGGTGTGAAAAACAGAAATGTAGATATAGAAAGGGATCTGGGTGTCCTTGTACACTGGTTAATGAAAGTAAAGAGTCAGGTGCAGCAAGCAACTGGGAAGGCAAATGGTATGTTAGCCTTTGTAGCAAGAGGATTTGAATTCAGAAGTAGAGATGTTTCACTGCAGTTAAACAGGGACTTAGGTGAGACCATGCCTGTAGTAATGCATGCAATTTTGGTCTGCCTACCGATGAAAGGATATACTTACCATGGAGGGAGTGCAGTAGAGTTTCACTAGGCTGATACTGGGGAGAGTAGGACCATTGTATGAGGACAGATTGGTTTGACTGGATCTGAATTCACTAAAGTATGAGAAAGAATTTTATACCTTTCAATAAGATTCTATCAGGGCTGGACAGACTAGATGAAGAGAGGGTATTTTCCCCAGTAGAGTCTAGAACCAGGGGTCACAGTCTCAGGATACAGGATAAGTCATTTGGGATTCATATGAGGAAAGATTTCTTCATTTATATGCTAGTGAACCTGTGGAATTTGCTACCATAGAAGGCTGTGGAGGCCAAGTCACTGGAATATATTCAAGCAAGAAATAGGTACAGTTTTAGAGGTATGGGGACAAAATGGGAATATAGCAATGAGATTAAGAATCAGCCATGATCAAACTGAATGGTGGAGCTGGCCTGAACAGCTGAATGGCCAGTGCACCTATACTTCCAGATGTCCTGCAGATTTAATCCCCTGACCACAATTAAATTTATTGAGATAAGTTAAGATTCATTTAAGGTATTTATTTAGTACGGCTGCTGTCTAGTTTTGTTAACATCGATCTAAAAATTTATGACACAACCTGCAAAATCAAACCTGCCTTCCAATTAACTATGGTAAAGCAGGAAATAATTGTAAGGTATTGCTTTTCGTACCATAGAGTAACAGATGTAATATTTGAGAGATATTTTCTACAGTTCTGATGACATGGGTCTGAGACTGACCTTCCTCAATGATGTAAATCTATATGCAGACACAAGATGGTGCTGAAATACTAAGTCAATAGCTCTTGGCATCCAGCCTTGCCTTTTGGACAGTGGAATGTAACATGCAGAGCAGAGACTAGGAGATGACCTTTACTGGCTGATTTAATTAGTTGAGTTAGCTGGGACAAAATGAATGAGTTCATTCAAACTTGCTGTTGTCTTTTGATTTGTAACATGAAAGCACCTTTTCAGAGCACAATATGATTTCTAGAGACAGGTGTTAAGTTTGTTCGGTTTCTACTTCAGTGTCTCTTCTTATTAAAAAAACACAAAGCCAAACCACAAGCATGACATTCGCAGGCTAATATGGAAAGAACATTTCAGCTAAGCAGGCCACATAAGGGTGATCTTGCCTATAGACCAAAGAATATCGTCATCATTTGACTATCGGACAGCATGGAAACAGCTCTAGCCACAATAAACCATTAGACACTTTCATACTAACACATTCAATAAGAAATTGAGACTATAAACATAACATCACAATTAGATCCAAAAATCTTCTTCTAGACTATATAAATGTATAAATGAGATGCAAATTAAAATGGCATAAATATAATATCTAAGCCAGGATAGTGGATATATTGGTGTTCATCTTTCAAAATCCTTAATACCTCAGGAATGTGCCTGCAGATTAAAAGTAGCAAATGTAACCATCCTATTTAAGGAAGGAAGGACAGGGAACAAAGGAACTTCAGACCTGTTAGCCTGACAGCTGTAGGAAAGTACTAGAATTTATTATGAACATATAATTACAGGATGATTAGAAAATAATTATCTGATTGGACAGGGTCACCTTGGCTAACGAAGGCTCACGTTTGACAAACCCAATACAGATTTTGACAATGTTACTGGCAGAGTCAATAAAGGAATCAGTAGATGTGGTGTATTTAGATTTTTTATAAAGTCCCACTCAAGAGGTCAACAAACATTGACTTACAGAGTCATAAAGCACGGAAACACACCCTTCGGTACGACTCATTCATGCCGATCAGGTATCCTAAACTGAACGAGTCCCATTTACTTGTGTTTGGCCCATATCCCTCTAAAACTTTCCTATTCATGTACCTGTCCAAATGTCTTTTAAATGTTGTAATTGTACTTGCCTCTACCACTTCCCCTGGCAGCTCATTCCATACGCGCACTACCCTCTGTGTGAAAAAGTTGTCCTTCAGATCCCCTTTAGATCTTTCCCCTCTCATCTTAAACCTAT